ACAGGCACAGAAACTAGAAGAAGACAGGTAGGACAACCTGACACACATAAAAAGCCAGCAAACTCCACTTCCCTGTGTCAAAGCACTGTCAGTGTTACCTAGTTTGGTAATGAAACATTTGCAAGCCAAGCTCAGCAAACACCAAGATCCCAACATTTCAACCCTGACCTACACATATTGCCACCACTGAAAACAGTCCATGTTGGTTCTCAGAGCGGGCTTGGATTAACCATTAAGCACAATAAGCACATGCTGAGGGCACCAATGGAAGTGGAGCAACACAGATTTTTTTTCCCCCTAGCTACCCATAACTCTTTCACTGACACACTCAACTTTAGTCTTTTATTTTTTTGGGGGGGGGGGTAATTGTCCTTATCTGCCATATTCCACTTTAATCTGCGTTGTTAAAAAAATGTTTTCTTTGGCATGATGAATGATTAAAGTTTAAAAGTTTGGTTTGAAGATATCACATTTGTTTCTGTCTCATGGCATGAGAGTTTTGCTTCTGTTGAGGGGCACCATTGTTGGGCTGTGCTTAGGGCATCAGTTGGCCTAAATCCAGCTCTGACTTATTAGAAATGTGTACTTCCATAGATCAGCAGGAAATGAAACTCACCGTTTTATCAGTAGTTTGAATAAAAAAAGGGGTGAAAGCTGGAATGTTGTTTCTTTCAATCAAATCCTTTGAACCCTTAAATGCACCCAGTGACAGTAGGAATCTGAACAAGAAGAAATCAAGTATAGTCTAAAGAGATCTGGATGTGAGGGAGTTAGAAAATTCAAACTATAATTCTCAAATTTATATTTTAGTATATTTGCTTTTAATAGTGCTCAAAACCTAGTGCCTGAGAAAGTTGACTTGGTGTAATTTGTAGAAGAAATACCTGTGGAAATCTTCAGTAAGCTTTGAATACATTCAATAAAAATTTTTATTTCCTGAAATCAGTCAAGTTCTTGGGATAAATTCCTGATAAATTTGGCTCTGGATAAGCCTAAATAAATCAAGACCCCTTGTGCCTAGTGCAGGAGATGGTGGTGTTGGCAGACTTTTCAGAGGCTGGGGACCATCACATGATTTTGTATTATGGTTCAGATACCTCCTCCAAATTAAAATAAGTTTATTATTTATTTAATTAATTAAATTTGTGTGCCACCCTTCAAAAATCGGTTTTCCCCTGGCAGCTTACAACAAAAATGAGAACATTTTAAAACTATTAAAAATGCAACTGCATAATAATTAAAAAGGATACTTTTTTTAGGAGCAATAAAAGCAGAAGCCTTAATAAAATATATCTGAATAAATGACAGTGATAAAAGTGGTATTGCTTGGAGTTGAAAAGAAAGAGGACTTTCCAGGGATGAGCAGCTACCACTGGAAAAGCTGCTTCCAAGTTGCCAGTTGCTACATCTCAATATGGAAAGTAGCTAGAGCAGAATCTCTGAAAATGACCTCAGAGTATGTGTACGAACATAAAGGAAGAGGTGTTCCTTTAGGAACTGTGGTCCTAAGCCATGAAGGAACATTCAGGTTAACACCAAGCTCTTGAAGAGGGACTTGAAACAGTCTGGGAACCAGTAAATTCCATATAAATTGCAAAGTATTCTTATCACCCAGTTCCAATCAGTATTCTTGCTGAAGCATTTTCTACTAACATCTTTCTGCACCATCTTCAAGGGTAGTTTCACATACTCCATTAGTAACAAAGTGGAGGGGAAATTAATGCACCCGCCTAATAAGATAAAAGGTGCTTCTACCACAAATGGAATCTCTCCAGATAAGGAGTGGATGGGAGATCACCCACATGTGCTCCAGACGGCTGCCCCTCATGGGGAGACTACAGGACCGGTTTTCCACAGGTTTGTGTGCCGAGAGATGACAGGATCAATCATCTCACTCGCAACCATGGCACAGCCTTTTAACGGACACTAAGTTTGCAAACCTCACTTTCTAATCACTTTCAGAAATTAGCTATTAACTGTCTTAAAACTGTTAGAGACCTTCAGAATGACAAGTTTAAAAAGGCTTCATTGGGTGAGTTTATCTTCAACTCTTAACAAAAGAAAAATTAATTATAAGCTTAAGAACTTAAAGAATTTGAAATAAACAGCAAAAAGCTAAACTCTTAACAAAAGAAAAATTAATTATAAGCTTAAGAACTTAAAGAATTTGAAATAAACAGCAAAAAGCTAAACTCTTAACAAAAGAAAAATTAATTATAAGCTTAAGAACTTAAAGAATTTGAAATAAACAGCAAAAAGCTAAATAAGATTTTGCTCTAAGAAAGTTATAAATTGAGTAAGGATCCAGATATATTTGGAATATTGACTTTTACTATAAGATTTTGGAACTAACTATAAAAAATAAGCAGCTTCTCATGGGAAACAGACTTATTTTGGCTGTCTTGGCTATTGTAAGTCATAACAAAGTTAAGTGATTATTTTAGAAACTGAACATTAGAGGAAACTAAAGATTCCAAGCAGAAGAAACAAAATACAACCCTATTCTTGATGACAGTTAATACTGGGACTGACAAAATGACACAAAATTTTATAACATTGGAAATATTAAAGGAGATCTTTGACAAATGGAGCCAGAAATTAGTAGCTACAATATCAACACTGTCAATAATGATGTCTGCTTCTTTGGATAGATTATGTCCAAAAGATGTTAATGAAGGAATGACAGAGTTGAACAAATTTTATCTGACAAGACAAGGAAAGTACAAAAAGTGGAACTACAAATGACAGGCCAAGAGAATGTTTTGGAAAAAGACAGTTTCTTGGATATACAAAAGAAACTGGCTGAAGTTTTAAAAATTAAAAGGGAAGGCTGAAGTTTTAAAAATTAAAAGGGAAGGCTGAAGTTTTAAAAATTAAAAGGGAAATACAAATGATAAACCAAGAGAATGACCTGGAAAAAGTTTTCTTATTGGATCTACAAAAGAGGCTTGCTAAAGCTTTGAAAAATTGGTGCGATGGGATAAAGAAGAATTGAAGGAAAATCAAATTCTATGACAAGATTTGATTGAATTAAAGATTAAGACAATTAGAAGTAAAAGGAATACAAAGTTGGTTCATCTGATCAAGGTTAAAATAAGAAAATTTTCTGCAAAGTTCTAGCAACCCTTTATGGACTTTTTGCTGGCACCAGGATTGAAAAGTTGATGTTTTATGGATTTGCTTATAGATGAGGGATGGGAAATGGGATGAAGAGATATCTGTCTGTAACTTTGTAGGGGGTGAAGAGCTACCAAATTTGTTTATACTTGTGATGAAGATTGGAAGTCACGTCTTTATATATTTTCTTTTCTTTTTCTTTATTATATTATTTCTTTTCTTTCTTTCTTTCTTTCTTTCTTTCTTTCTTTCTTTCTTTCCTGCACTTTTTATTCTTCATTCTCTTCTTTTTCTTAGTTTTTAATTTGTGTTAGTTTTTACTACTGTAATTAAAATTCTTAATAAAAATTATATTTTAAAAAGTCCTCATTTAGTGATTGCCTTGTTTAGCAATCGTTCGTACTTATGATGGTGATGAAAAAGTAACTTTATGACCAATCCTCACATTTATGACCTTCACAGGTCAGTAAAGCAAACGAAAGCTGAAGTAAGACCATAAGCACAGTCACGGTTTCACTTAGCAACCACTTCGCCTAACGACCAAGTTGCCAGTCACAGTTGTGATCACTAAACGAGGGCTACCTACATTATCCAAGTTTTTGTGTGTCTTTATTATTATTATTGTTGTTGTTGTTGTTTTGGACTGATTTCACAACAGTAGTCATTCAAACTTTTGTGTGTTATGATTTTGTAAATTGCTGCTTTCTTTCCCTTGTCCAGATTCAGCAGCCTAGATTTACATTATTTAATTTATTTCCTGATTCCAGCAATTGGCTTCAGTCCAGCCCTTCAAATCAGTGATCAATCTCGTCTGTAGATCACATGACTTGTCATGCATTTCTATGGTGAAATTTGAAAAGTGCATTGTTGTTGATTCTATATTATCACTAGCATATGTTTTTGAAAATAAAGATTTATTGGAAAAATATTGCAACTGAAAAAACAGGCTTTCTGATGCTGGAAAAAGTAATTTCATATACATTTCATGTATATTACAGTATATAAGTACATTTTTTGCAGTTTTTCACTGTAATTTTTGTCACAGATGCCAAGAAAGTTAAACAGTTAGTGTGTCTTCCTTTCCCCCGCCATTTGTCCTCCTTTCCAGTTGTCCATGTCCTCCTTTGCCTGTTCAGAGATCTGATAACCCGAGCTAGAAACCTCATGAGATTGCCAAATATGACATTTCAGCATCATCACCCTAAATCGTGCTTGCTATTTTGGCTATAGATATTGTTGGTCAACATAGTAATCATGAGTGATGTACTGCTAACCCCTGACTTAGCACAAAGTGTAATATTCCAGCCAGTGAGGGTCAGAAGGGGTCATCTCCCTGATCTCTTTGGCTATTTCCTCCTGAATATTAGAAATGGAAGAATCGGCTTATCTGGATTCTGCAATATTTATTGGGTTTCAGACATGTACATTCTGTCCTCTTTCAGTGTCAATCTGCAGTATTTTTAAAAAAGTTTCTATAAATATATAATAATGTGAACATGCTCCTGTCACTCCACATTAGCGTGGTACAGAGTGGTTGTACATTTTTTGAACAAAAGCTACTGCGGGGCGTTTGACTAAGATACTTCTCACTGATCCCTGGAGCCATTTTGCATGATATAAAAAAAATGCTTTCTGAGTTTCCTTGTTTTCTGGAATAAGGCAAAGAATGAAAGCATGTATGATCATATACATGGTAAACTGTAATTATTAAAATATGGCCAGTTTATCCAAAGCAGACGTTATGGAAAAGCATAATGGTTTAATCAACATCTGATCTGATAACAGTATGTGCCACGTAGACCGCAGAGCTAGAGTAGAGGAACTTGTGGAGAGGAACTGATTGTGATTTCACAAATATTAAGCGTCTTTTCTTTCCATTCCAGGCTCCATTCCATCCCATTCAGTGAATTTGCCTCCTCCACTTCCACCATCTATTTCTGCCACGCAGTCTGCAGACTTACTGTTGCCTCCTCCTCCTCCAGGTTTCCATCCATCAACACAAACTCCTGTTCTTCCCCCAAGAGTGAACCTCCCATCCAGGTCTGATTTCAGGTACATAATTGTGAATTATAGTCCTTCTTCCATATTTTCTTGCTTCTTAAAAAGTGAGGAGAATCTCTCTTCTTCTCCTCATTGAAATGTCTTCTCCACGCAGTCATACTGAAGTACATAATTTTTAGTATTCATTGCAATGAGTTGCAATAAGCAGCTGCTATAAGCTACCTATAGCAATAAGCTATGTTTGTTTCATAATGGTTTGTTGACCAAGCTACAACTGACTAGGTTCATTCAACATGCTGAGCCATAAATTATGGTCTACAAAGCCCGTTGACTACATTGGCACAACAAGCCAAGTCAATATCAATCAAATCACATTATGTATGGACTCAGCCAGTGTTCACTTTCATTTGGTATCATTGTGACAATAAAAAAGTTATTTCTTGGGAGGACTGTGTGAAAGCCATAATAGATTAGCCATATTGCCCTGTTTACATAAAAAATGTAGGACTGGGGACTGGAAGGGGTCTTGTTTTAGCCTGGCTACAATGGCAGACAGACTTGTACCAAGCATGCCTTTTCCTAGCATGGAAATAATGCAGAAAATAGTCCTCGTTCAATTTCTGCAAGTGCAAGCATTAAAAACATGGGTATCCTTCCTAGGAAAAAATATCACATTTGAATATATTTACTTATTATAAACAGACTCCAGAAACCTTAATTGCACCTTTTCCAACAAACTATAAGACCTAGACTGGACTTTCACTTTAAAAAGAAAATATATTCCAATGGATCTGCTTCTTTTTCTTACCAAATTCACTTTTGCTGTTTTGTAGAGGCCAAGAAAATGAAGAAAGTTATGATGATGTTGGATTTGGTTCAGAAGGTAAGAAAACCTATTATCATACATAGAGGATAAATAAGAAGCACGTGTGGGATTCCATAACAAATCAGAAATAAGCCAGGACTCTGGGTTCAAATATATTGACAATCAAATTGTATAAACCACCTTCAATGTTTGCACATGCAAATGCAAAAATGTGATATTTTAATACACTGACTTCCCCACCCTGGAATGTCCTGACAAGTGTGCTGATTCCTTGGTTTCCTTGTATATGACTAGAGTTAATGGAGAAGGGCCTTTTATCTGCCTCTACAGAGTCCATCTCCTGCTTCAAGGACTCTTGAAGTCTGTATTCATATAGATCGAAAGAAGGGTCTGACCCACCAATAAATAGCATCAGGAAGCAGACTGAGCAGGCACATAGATTGCCTGAACCTAGTCTTCCCCACTATGGTGAGGTCCAAAATATGTTTTTCAATGGATTTTTGAAGCATGCAGAGCCCTGGGAAGGTAAACGGTTAAAAAAAAATAGTGTACATTAAAGATGAAGGGGTTTTACGGATTAAGTACACAGTTTAAAATAAGCCACTGGTGCAAGTCATGCTCCATTGCAGCATTCACATTATACAATGACTAGTATTTGATTAGACCAAGGTTACAAGGTTGCATAGAAGTGTTGTTGCATATATAGAGATCATAAGGTGTATAATAAAAACAGTGTCATGGCATTGTGCCACAAGGTCCATCCCTTCGAGGCATGCAGGGAATGTCACAGGACAGGGCAAAACAGACAGGGCCTACATTGCCTCATGGCTTTCATCTGCCTGATCCCCTTGCTTCCCAACCCACCCTCCCCCTACAACCTCCTGCAAAATAATTTAATGCAATTGTTTTGCCTTTTTATCCATTAGGTACTGGAAATGGAGATGATGTAAGTATTCTCCTTCATAATCTACAAATGTATATCACCTTTGGCCTTCTCTGTAGTCATTCTTCCCATGACTATTTATTGTATTTATACCTTGGCTTTTTTTTTTTTTTATACTTTGGCTTTTTTTTTTTTTTATACTTTGGCTTTTTTTTTTTTTTATACTTTGGCTTTTTTTTTTTTTTATACTTTGGCTTTTTTTTTTTTTTATACTTTGGCTTTTTTTTTTTTTTATACTTTGGCTTTTTTTTTTTTTTATACTTTGGCTTTTTTTTTTTTTTATACTTTGGCTTTTTTTTTTTTTTTTTTTTTTGAAAACTCACAGGAAGCCACTCTCAGTAAGATCCTTCTTAGAAACAAAATGCTGGGTTAGCTCATTTGGATAATCAAGGATGCACTTTCTGAATTCAGTTTTCTGGTTTTCAGAGACCTACCGAGGTGCTGCTATCCAGTGTAGAAGCCAGCAAGTCTGCCAGCTTAAAGAAGTGCTAACCAGACTTCAAATCCTATCCTGCTTCAGCAATGAAGCAGTCCTCATAAGAACCAAGGGAAGAAAAGAGGCTGAGCAGGAATGCTTCTTCTGGTGCTCATAATTGGCATCAGAAGAGATGCAAGTCTTCTGCTATCATTTTACCAATCCCACAGAGTGATTCTCCTCCCAACCATGGTTTGGCAAGCGACATGGCTCTTGGGCTTTTGGGCACAGTAGGAGAGCCCAGACTCTCCTGGTACCAGAAAGCAAATGGCCCTGAAAACTAATGGCCAGGAATTGGAGTAGCGGAGCATACTTGTGGCACTTTCAGGTGGTCAGCCAGAGCAGGTCCCTGTGTGTGTCTTTACCTCAATACAATGTACTTCAGACAGACTGAATGGCACACCTTGTGCCAGAAGAAGCTGGAAAACACCATTTTATATCTGGTTCAGGTTCCCTTCTTGGAATGTCAAGGATGAGTTGAACATAATATCATCCATGTCCTTTAAATCTATTTGCTGAAATATTTCTAGCTCACAGTTAACAGGCTACAAAGGAGGAGGAGGAGGAGGAGGGAGAAATCATCTCAAACCTACTCAGGATACTTTGTGGTTAAAGGGGATTTGAACCTAGGACAGGTTACTCCTGTCCAAGTCCATTACTTTAACAACTATACTATACTGGCTACGGTCCTTTCTTTTGGGTACCAAGTTAAAACCATATTTTTTCTTGAGATACATTGACTCACTAGTTCCCTGCCAATCTTGCTGCAGGAAGTTGCATATGTTTTAATTTATGGGATTCCAATCGACAGAGAGTCAGGTGTTTGTTATGCTCAGAAAAATAACAGGATTTTAAAGTGAGCTATAACTAACTTGCCCCATTGATATCATTATGTTTTCCCCAGGATAGATAATCTGGTACTCTTGGAATGTTTTAAACTACAACTTTTATAATTTTTTGCATTTGGATATTCTTATTTTTCACTGAAAACTGAAACTTTTTTTTATAAACTTTTAATAGAATCAGAACAGTGATGGAGAAATGTATGAAGACATAAATGATATGAGGTATGAAAAAGACAACTCTACTTATAAAGTGGGTCCCTGATTGTAGTATAATAATCGTAGTTGTGATTAAATAATGACCGCAATTAAAAGTTGCATGCAAAAAGATCCAAAAGAGAATGTAAGGCTCCCCTTCAGGCATTCTAGGCATGAATTCTGGTTACCAATGTCCAATATACCCTGATCATCCATGGTTTTTCTTTTCCTGCATATTTTAGAGGTACGTGCTCTGACTGTGAATACATCTATTTGCTTTTAGCTATTCCAATATTTCTTGAATTACAAAAGGCTGGAAAGAAGTATCAATACATTAAATGGCCAAAAGCATTGCAGCTCTTTTTGCCAATTCATTGTCCATTTCCAGATTCCACTACCACTGTTTAACTTTAAAAAAAAAAAAAAATCAGGAGCTCTGAGAACAGATCCATTACATCGTGTGAAGATTGTCCACCCTATCCAAGCAGACTAATTTTTCCTGATCAGAATCTGAACTTAGGCTTTGTAGGGGGGCTAGGTCAGGTCAGGATTTTCCATTTGCGGGGAGGTTAGTGGGGGAGTGTGATGGTATGTGGGAGGCAGGAGGAAGACCCACAGCCTAGGCAATGGTCTGATAAGAGGCAGCTCAGTCCTTAGTATAATGACATATGGGAAAGACCCTGGGAGACTGGGAGAAGAGATGCTGCCAAGGGGTCAGATAAGAGACAGCATAGCCTGCAGCTGGATAGTGGATGGGGCAAGAGGCTCAGAAGGGACCCTCCCTAGTTTCTTGGGCTGAAAAGAGAAAGGGGTGGGTGGGGTGGGGGAGAAGTGTACTTTCATACTTGCAAGACTGATGTCAACCTCACCAGATAAACCAGATAGGAATCACAACTATATGAGCTCATTCTACTTTATTGTAAAGCTACACTGACACAATCTGGAGGGGAAAAATAACTTTGAGCCTTGCAAAATGGATGTTAGCCCTGTGAGGTAGTCCAGAAAAGAAGCACAACCAGGAGCATCAGCATTATTTTTATTTTAAGGTTACATTAAACAGAATCTTGCAAGATTCTCCCCTCCTCTCTTTTTAGTATCTGGAAAACTAGGGAGGGTCCCTTCTGAAACGCTTCCCATGCTTTTCCCCTGTCTGTGGACTAAGCTGCCTCTTATCACTGTTGCCTAGGCTGGGTCTGATCCTCCTGTCTCCAAGGTCATTACCACATACCATCACAGGGGGATTGTTAAGTCCTTTCTGAGGGCTTAACAACAGTTTTTAAGCAAACTGGAGATCTTTGGCAATTGTCTGAAATCTGATAGCATAATCAGAAGTTATTTTGGGACAACTCAAAAGCAGTTAGGAAACCACTCGCAGCCATGGGATTTGGCTGGTTACAAAATATTGGATTTCACCAACAATTAGGATGATTAAGAAAGCAGATTATTATTCAATTTACTGACCTTTCCAGTAAAGCTAGGGGTTGTATACAGGAAAAGAAGATGGTTCAAAATCCCTATTTAGAAAGTCAGAATAGCAGATGTAAGCAGTGGCAAGATTTACTCCAGTTGGTTGGTAGTCACCATCTTCCCCCCTCCACACACACACACACACTTCCCATTACAAGGGCATTTTGGAAAATTGTTTCTGTCATTGTTTTCTAAAATGCTCTTCAGAAATGTTCATTTGAGGAAAGAGAAATGTATCAGCTGATTCAAGAGGTCTTGCTAAGTCTCCCCCCTTCTCCAAAACTGTGAGCTGCACCTCAAATAGAACCACAAAATTTAAAAAAAAAAAAATTGGGGGCGCAATTAGAACTGAATAGTGTGTTATGTCTCACCCTGTTTATTGTGCAGACCACAAGAAGCTGATAAAAAGAAAGAGAAGGAAGAAAAGAAAAAATCTGATCAAAAGAAAGAACAGAAGGATAAAGATAAAAAGGAGCAAGAACTCAGAAAGAAGTTCAAGGTAAGAATTCTTTCAAGAAAATTATGCAAGAAACTGGAATAAATATATGTGTCTATCTTTTCAAAGTTGCTAAAATATCCACTTGGTATTTTTATTTAACAGCAAAAGTTAATATTTCAATCCTTGCTTAATCAAATTGATTAAATCAGATTGATAGAGCCAACATAAAATATGAATAAGCAGAATAGGCAAACAGCCAATAGAGAATATCTGGAATGTTGGGATCACGTTGCAGGTGTTTTCATAAAATGGCTGTCCTCGTGTGAAGGTGCCACGGTAGGTGGGTTCAGTCACAAAGCCTCTAATTACCATAAGGCAAATTGATGAAGTTGACCCTCACCACACCCTCTAGCTTCCCAGGATACTCTCTACCTACTCCATTGACATTTGCCCCTTTTCCACAAAAAAGGACTGGGCATATTTTTATGTTCTGAGAATATTTCTGGAACTTATGTGGCACCCAAAGGCATTTGTGGAAATGAAAATGCTGTAAAAGCTTGGGATTTTACTTTGTAGCAGGTTAGTTCTTCATTTATGGAGTTATCTTAATAAATGGATTTAAAGACCCTGGTGGAGACCATGTGATATTCAGTACCGTGGGCACCTGATGGCCTACTCTTGGGATAAAATATCTGAGAATGTACATTCTTACCAGAAGACTTAACACAATGTGGAATTTTTAAGGTTCTACTTTTAGGACCAGGTTGCACCTGGTACATCTATCCACACAGCATGATCCTATGCAGGTTTTCTCAGAAGTAAATGCCACTGAATTAGATAGGATTCACTCAAAAAATGTATGCATTTCAAATTATTGCTGCCTCAAGGGGGCCCAAAATGCTCTTTGTGTGATTGCTATGGATACAGAAGTAATACATTAAACATTAACTCCCAAAAAATAATTTAGACATATGTATCTACTAAATAAAGCAATGTCTTAAAAGGTCTTTTGAATCATAGCTATTCCTCAACTCATTAAAAAATATTTTGCAATTGCTATCACAAAACTTCTAGCAGAAATTGCCATTTTATTGGCTCTTTCGATTTTTATATTTCCATCAAGTTACTCCCGGATATTAATTAGCAAGCATATTTTCTTCATTATTTATACCCTTGAAAAGTTACAAAACCAGATCATTCAATAAAAGTGGTAGATAATAATCAGTCTTATTCCAATAAATCAAATGCTGGATTTTTTGTTTGTTTGTTTTTCTCACTCTATTGTAAAAAAAAACAGCATAGCCATGTGAATAAATGAGATTGCATGGTCACAGTCATTCCAGGAAGTGCTGCAGAAAAGAATCAGCCTCTGAACAGAGCCCTATACTTCTGTAAGCATGTGGGGTATTTTTGCTGAAAAGAAAGGAAATACCAAATATCCTAGTCATCTCATGCATTTTCAGAAGTGAGCTGCATGTTCTCCCACCCCACCCCAAGGAAGGAAGAAAGAACACTGTCCAGATTTTGTTCCCACTTAAGTTTTTCCCTCAGCTGGCAACAAAACCCTTGATTCAGAGGACACAGCAAAGTGAGTTTATCAAAACAGAAGGGCTTCTAAGCTCTTTCTTGTAGCTTTACAGGTAGTCCTTGACTTATGACCCCAATTGTGACTGGAACTTCCATCACTAGGTAATGCAGTCATTAAGTGAGTCATGCCCAATTTTATAACCTATTTTGCCACAGTCATTAAGTGACTCACTGCAGTCATTAAGCGAATCATGCAGTCATTAAGCAAATCTGGCTTCCCCCATTGACTTTGCTTGTCAGAAGCTCCCTGGGAAGGTTGCAAATGGCAATCACATGACCCTGGGATGCTGCAACCATCCTAAATACATGCCAGTTTATAAGTGCTCAAATTTTGATCATGTGACCATGGGGTCACTGCAACGGTCATAAGTGCAAGGATTGGTCATAAGTCACTTTTTTCAGTGCCATTGTAACTTCAAACAGTTGTTAAATGAATGGTCGTAAGTTGAGGACTAACTGTACTACAGGGAAGGGAGACTGCATAAAGCCTATGGGGCGGAGAGGTCTCATTCTCATATCACAGAATTATATTTTAGTATTATCTCCTAAACAGCCTGTTCTTTCAAGCTACGTGTTGGTTTTCTCTCTCTCTCCAAGCACTAAACCTAACCACATGCATTTCTTCATCTTTTATGTAGCTAGTGGGTCGCATTGAAGTTATTCACCAGGCACGAGCTACCACAGACTTTAAAGGAGGAAAATATGATCTGTCATTCAAACAAGGAGATCAAATTGAAATACTCCGCGTCACAGACAATCCAGAAGGGAAATGGTTGGGAAGATTAAAAGGCTCCTGTAGGTATACTATAATGTGCAGAAATTAAATGAATTCATGCTAATAATTTTACACATTCTTTTTTCAAGTGACAAAAACTGTGTTCGCTTACTGCTTAGAGAGTCTGAATCATCCCTAGGGCATGGCTCTTGCAGCTGTGCATTTGTTTCTTTATCTATTACATTGAATTATTTATTTATTTCTCAAATTTATATGGCTGCCCATCTCACACAAGGTGACTCTGGACAATGTACAATAAAACCAACAACTAAAACACATTATAAAACCACTTAACATGCTTAAATAATTAAACATAAATAAGAACAAGATCGCAAGAGAGTTAGAATCAGAACATTATGCATGGTGCAGCTGACATGCAGGCTCCCTACTGCCAGAGGATCCCTGGGCCTGATGGAAAAACCATGTTCTGAGGGCTTTCCAGAAGGCTATAAGGGTTGGGCCAACGTCACTTCAAGGGGGATGATGCTTCAAAGGGCAGGCACCACAGCAGAAAAAGGCTCATCTCCGAGGTCTCAGCAGCTGGAACTCCTTAGCAGACAGGACCCGCAACATGCTTCTCCTGCCAGATCTTTGCTGTTCTTGCTCACCCCACTTCTCAGAATTGTGAGAAATTCTAATGGTGCAATGGTTATCAACATTTGGGGTTTTTCTGGTGGTGAACGATATCGATAGCTGCATTCACCCATCTTAGACATGGAATATACCTCTTCAGAAGGAACAAATACATGCTCTGGCTCACACAGACAGGGAGGTTACCCCCAAATCCCTCCCTTTCTCCTAAAGAAGGGAATGGTTTGTCCTTCTAAAAACCAGCAAAAGTTGCTGGGAAAGAGGCTGGAAACAAGCAGGGTGGAACACCTACCCTCCAGCTCAGATTTAAGCTAGAATTTGCACAAGCAGGATTTTTCCAAATCACAAATTGGTACAGACATAGTTTCAAAAGTAGTCTATACTCTAGAGAAATAAGATTATGTTACCCAAGAACTGTGTTCTTTGTTTATATTGATGTTTGTGTTTAGGTCTACTCTGATATTTATTGTATCTATACAATCCCAATTATTATGTGTTTGATACTTCTTGGGAGCTCTGAGCAACAGAAGCATCATACCTTGTGTTCTTCCCCAAACTTTTTATGGGAGATTCTGTTATGGCGTTTTTAGCCATTTTAGCAGCTCTGTGTTTTTTATTTCTTCCACCATGTGAGTACCAATTTTTGCATTTTTATTCCATAATAGTCTTGTGATATTGAACGCAATCTCAAAGGAGAGATCCTTTTGTCTTGCACACCTTGTACCACAGCTTAGGAGGGCATGATACAGAATTAATTTCATTTTTATCAGCTTTTCTTTTCTGGCCGGGATAATGCATAGACTGTGGGATACCTCCCTATCTCACATGGTGGGTTTAAGAGGGGGCTGCTACATTAACTCTTGCCTCCATGGAATTCATAAAATTGCACCTGGACTGTCTGGCTTCAGATTACCAATGAGAGCTTACATAATGGAATAATGTCTTGTACAGTGTTTATAGAAAATTAATATAGGAAGGAGAAAAATCATAATCCCAGTTTTTCACGTGATATGCTCGATTTCCACATACTGTGTCTTATTTTCTTTTTTGTACAGAGAAACACATAAGCTACAGCCGTGTTTCTCAACCTTGGCAACTTTAAGATGTGTGGACTTCAATTCCCAGAATTCCCCAGCCAGCATGGCTGGCTGGGGAATTCTGGGAG